TCGTTTTTAGCCTCTCATGACCCTCCGTCTTTTCTTTATGCCATTCGTTGAAATCTAGCAGAGTTGGTCTATGCCATTGGCGTCTTACGGTTTGCATTGACCATGCCTCCTTAAGGTTCGGGGGAAGCTTACGCACAGCTTGATTCAGTAAGTTAACACTTTTCAGGTCGTCGTTAAAAGACAGGGACATGAATACGGCAACAAGTCCAGAAATTGCAGAGGAAAATCCAATTACATTTTCCGAGTTATGCATTTTCAGCGGCGGGAAATTACTCAATTTATCTAGATGAGCCCCTACTACAGCATGCGTCTGCCCGAACTTTCTTTGAAGAGTTGCTAATGCGTCTTTATATAGTACTCCGCTATTGCTATACTCAGCGATTGCGGATTTTGCTTTACCCACTACGAGCGTTTTCAGATAGGTAAGCTTTTCATCGTCACTGAGTATGGCTGAACCGACCGTCGATGTGAATTGCCCAAACCAGTCATGCCAATTAAGTGGGTTGCCATCGAACTGGGTCAGCTTCCACTCAGGGAGATGATCTTTTCGGCTGTGCATGAGTATATTAAACAACTCTCGTGTCGAAAGTTGACGCTCGACGTCTGCACCAGGTGAATTACCGGGAGTTGGCTCTGTTTAACTTGAAGAGTTACCGTGACAATCAGGAACGAACGGTTGATTAGCATGAGAAGAATTTTCAAGCTGTGAAAGAACACAGTCCCTCCACTTGTATAAGGAACAAAATTATTCGGAGGAACAATCGGAGTTACTGTGGAAAAAACAGTTGTCGAAGGACTGTAGTGTTGTTGAGCTGACAATAAAGGGGCAGCAACAGCTGGTCTCCACAAATTACTATAAGGATTATAGTGGTCACTTGAAAAGTTATAACTACTAACGGGAACACCCATATGTTGTTGTGATGGGACTACAGGTGCTTGGTAGCCAGCTACTACTGACCCTGTAGTCTGATGACTAAAGAAACATGATTAACTGCTGTTGATGCAGGAACGAACGGTGCTACACCAGATGGAACTTCTGCAGATGTTGTCGGAGCAAAATAATTTTCAGAAGTTACCGGGACTACTGACCCTGTGTTTAGAATGCCTAGCACCGGATGAGTGGACAAAAGAGTTTGCTGAGGCAAATTATTAGAAACAGGTTGAATGAACTGTTGTAACCCTACTGGATTGTTAACGGAAACCTGCGATCGGACCAAATTCGACAAATTATGATGTTGTCCGTGAATGTGGTTAGTGTAATGCAATCCGGGATCACTAGAAGCTGTCTGGCCATTGTTCTTTCCTGTATAATTTGGTGAAACCAAATAATTTGTTAATGCAGGATAAGTTGCCTCAGCTGTAGAACGAACGTGCTGCTCTTGATTGGGAACTACAACAGCATCAGGCGGACTGTGGTCGACAGATTTGACCCAGTGTCGCGTACGATCATTTTCGTCTATGGTTAGTTGTGGAGAGATTCGAGTTAAACCACTTTCCTCAGCATTCTCGCTGATTTCCGACAACTCATCTTCTAACTTAAGCCCTTTCAACTCAATTTCTGCCAGTTTTTTCCTGTGTTCTTCAGCCAATTCTTCCAATTCTAAACGGCTTTGTTGTTCTTTCAGTCTTAATGATACCTTTGCCTGCCTCTCAAGTTCCTCTTGTTGTTTCTTTAAAATCATTAAATCGCGCTTTTTCTCAGAAAGTATTTTCGACGGAGCGGCGGTATAACTCGATTTCTGAGAACCCGATTGCTGATGTCGGCTGCTTCGATGCGACAACTTAGAGCGGGTATCTGTTTTATGCGACGGGGGTTTTTCACCTTTTTCAGAACGATGAGAATTTTTTGAGCTGCTATCTATTTTGTCCGGCTCTGTTACTGCCTCAAAACTTGTTTCATATGTGATAGCTTCCTGCAGAACTTTATCGTTGCTTTGAGTCAACTTATGAAGCCACATATCTTGTGCCGGTATCAATTCGTCGGGATTGGCACTTTTTGCAGCCATATCAATCAACTCAGTATTTATCTCGACCGCTTGTTCTATATAGTTCCTACATTTTTCGTATCAATTTTTGAGCAACGACACTGACTCTCTGTGTATTCTAAAATTATTTCGTGGCATTTATAAAGTTCGTTTTCGAGGTTGCTACGTTTCTCAAACAACTTCTTAATTTTCTTTTGAAACTTAGCTTCCAAGCTTAATAATTTCAGAAAAGAACGACTCTCGGAAATTACCCTATTTTTACTCAAGTAAATCCACAAAATACTCTAACACATCAATAACTTACAAGGGGGAGTAACTTGAAGTTTTAACGCTTTAAGTCTGTTGTGAATCGCTCTACGATTTTTAGGCGACAAACGGTTCCGCTTCTTCTTAGCTTTCAGTATATTTAGGTCAGCACTGTATCGTCTAAGTAACAACAGGGTCTTCAACTCAAGGGAAGGGGGCTGGTGCAGCTCTTTATAATTTCGATAAGTATTTGGTCTTTGGCCTTTCGCTTTGAGATAAAATCCTCAACTATGTTAATAACGAGAATACCTGTCTTTTTAAACTCTTTTTCTATATTGTCCGTACCGTTGCGGCGACAGTATACAATAGCGGTAATGTTCTCCTTGTATCTCAAAAGAAGGCTCTTAAGTTGGTCAGTACTCAAACTACGGTTGTTGTTACTGCGGTGCTTACTAATGGAATTATTTATGGCGTCGTGCCAAATAACTAGATCTTTTCGATTCGACAAAAAGTGATGCAGATAGTATTGGAGAGTTTTCTGCGAGTCCCTGGCGTTAAAGTTAAAGCTTAAACCGGGCTTTCTGAAACAAGTCTCTTTTACGCGCTTTTGAGACGGTTCGGATAGTATACGGAGCGCGTGATCCAAGGAACTAGCTCCTAGAATGAATACCATACACTCAAGAGACCTATGCGACGGCTACGTCACGCTAAAGTACCAATGGGGTGGGGAAATTAAGTAGGTTGGTTGAACTCCAACAACGCACACGGAGTAAACCTGAGGATGAAAGAATTCAACTTAACTCACTTAATATCACCGTACCTGACCACTTAACATTAGTGTCCCGCAATGAGGTCAATTATCGGACGGGCTAAAACGGCTTATATTTACTTGAAGCGAACTGGCTCACAGTTTCACCAATGTGGGTGGGGGATCAGGCAAATTGGTTAAGTTCCAACAACACACGCGGAAAAAACCTGAGGATGAAAAAACTCAACCTAATTTGCCTGATATTTCGCTACCAGACCACTTAACATAGGGTTGGATTCATCTTACAGCACAGTTTCGCAGAATTCTGAAGACGTTTTGAGGAGTTTTTGGCAATTTTTTACTTTTTTCACAAAATTTTTCGGAAAATTTTGGTCAGCGGGTTCGAGTCATAAACCAATCCAAAAAACTAGTCCAGTACCTCTTGTCTATGTTCCGATTTCACTGATTAATATTCGTTCACATATATCCAAAAATTTTTGGTATCGAGAAAAAATGTCAAGTCAGTTTGTCTATGTACCGACTGTAAGATATTTCAGTTCAACGGAACTGTCCAAAATTTTTTGGGTATTGAGAAAAATTACCGGGGGCTAGCTTGCGGGAAAAAATTCAACATGTATGACAGCGTATAGAAATTTAAAGCACGAATGGAGAGTTTTAAAAATTTTGGAAACGTCTTACAGTTTTTAATTGGAGATTGGCGTCACCGGGAAAAAATCCAAAACTTCGAATGTCGAGAAAACACAGCTCAAAATTCGTTCTAAAGAAAACGTTTAAAAAACGTACAATGTTTCAATAGCTTAAGCAAAAGTATTCAGCAAAAAAAAACTACTATTTTGTATAAAGAACGGCAATTGAAGTGTTTTTCAGCAGTTTGAGTATTAATTTGGATTAAGTCATATATTTGCCATTTTTTGCAGAAAATCTCTTAAAATCGATTATAATAGAGTCTTATAATTATCAAATTGCTCTCATGCCAAAAAAGCGTGCAAATCAGATAGCAAATCATTTGATTTGCACGGAAATTTATTTTAAAAGTTTTTGCAGTCGAGCTATACCTACACAAGTACATAGAGTTTTTTTAATCAAACCGGGGTGTTTTTTATTTTCGAGAATATTTTGACTCTGTAATATATAACTTGTCGCAACATTTTACATTTTGCCGGTTAACAGTTAAAAGACGGGCACAGCTATTCATAATGACTTAATGACTCATAATCGATGCTCTTAGAAAAGGTATATCTCTTAAAAATGGTCGTTTTGATTAGCTTTTGACGAGTGTACTTCTGCCCATGTTCCAATGCTTTTACCTTTGTTTCAACGAAAATGCGCTTTAGTTATCCCAGGGTGGTTTTTTATGCAGTCAATTTTTGACTAATTTACTTGACATACTACATGAAAGATATCGTTTTACCGAGCTCAAATGTAAAAAATCATCTGTGATTTTTTTTGTTTTGTGATGGGGGTACGAAAATTGCAAATTCGTCCACATCGGTATAAGAAAAGCGCGATATAATTTATTGATATATTGATATTTTATCTAGATTGATATTCCAAATGAAGCAAATCATTTGGTGCTTTTATCAGGACCCGGGACATCTTTTTGTGTCGGTATAAAATTAAGAATAAACCCAAAAAAAACTTTTTTGTTCTGTTTTTATCAGTTTTTCATGTAAAAGTTTTCATTGGGCCTCAAGACTAAAATGTATTGGCGCCAAAGGCGCCTTCATGAAAATTTTTGGATCCGTCATCAAAAACGGATATCCCAAAAAGTGCAAAGAGGGGAGGGACCCTCTGGGTCGGCAGGAAGTCGAGTCCCTGAAGAGGGCGTCCGACCTACCGTCCCCTCCCCCTAAACCCGCCCCTGTTAATTATACTATCTTTAAATGACCTCAAGTGCAACAGAGAAATTAGTACGATTCAATTTGGTAATGACCCAGTAGTAACTTTTCACGACTTTCGACTTTTGCTAAGTTAGAAATTAGATTAATTTTTTTGTCAACCTTGATGTCGTCCGAGAAGTTTTTGATTCTCTTGTTGGTGCCTGCGTTTGCCAAGTGGTAGTTGACCCATCTGATGAGCAGGTCCTCCGGAGACATGGATGCCAGGTCCTTGAGGGTCTCCCCGTTTTCACTGTCCACCAGTTTGGCTAGGCCAGGGTGCATTTGCAGATTCACTTTACTCACCAGTCCAATCTAAGGCATAACAGGGAAAACAGGATCAGATTTACAACTCCCTCTCCCCAAAAAGAGAGGTTAAGATCCTAAGCCCCCTTGAATATAACAATTTAACATATTCCCATAGAAATACTAGGGCAAAATATTGCACCCACTTGAGCTAAAATTGCTCAAAACTGCATTCACTGTTGTTCAGACTTCAAAGTTAAAAGTTGAAGTTGTCAGAAGTATTTACGAGCTTGTTGAGCTTGTGTACGTTAACTGAAAAAAAAATTGAAATGCTAGAAACTTTGTTTACTGCAGGGGTGGATCTAGGATTTTCTCGAGGGGAGGGGGGGACGGATTTTTCAAAAAATTTCAAAAATTTTGTCGACTTTTTTTGAGGTCGACCTAATTATTTTTTCGAGGTCTCCCTAAGCACTGTTTAGTCCCTGTTTTGCCCAAACTTTCTGCGCCGCCGGCACAATTTTGACAAAACAGGCCAAAAAGGCGTTTTTGGGCACTTTTTGGAAAAATTTGACCAAAAAATTGAGTTTTTTCGGCGCGCGCTCCCCCTCAAATCTAGCAAATATTGGCGCCGAAGGCCCCTTCAGAAAAATTTTAGGGTCGATCGGCCAAAAATGGATTTCTTAAAAAGTACCAAAGGTGGGACCCTTTGGGTCAGCAGGGGGTCGAATCCCTGAGGAGGAAGGAACGTACGCCCCCCCCCCCCCCCCTAAATCCGCCCCTGGTTTACTGTGCAGCTAAAAAGAACGTTTTTGTCACATTCGCTTTCAAAAAGATAAAAAACAAAAAAAAACGCACTTATAATTTTTTCAAAACTATTTTTTTTCTTCGATTTATGATGCTTGCCAGTAAAAATTGATGTTCAAATTTTTCAAGTAATAAAACTTTTTTACATTACCTCGAAGATTAGAAGCGGGGTTGATGTTTACTCGAACTCGCGTACTCTTCATATTTCGCTTCACTGAGTTAAAAGAAATCAGCAGTTTTTGCATTTGTTTCGCTTCGAATACACTACTTTCAAAACACTAGAGTTGGTCAAATTTTATGTGAAACTATTTTAACTTTTTAGACAAGATTTTATCTTAATTACTTTTATGGTACACTTGATGTAAATTTTACATTTATATCGCTTGCCTTAAGTCACCTAAGGTAAAGGATCTCTTTTACTATCCCTCCCCCATATTGCAGTGGTAGCGGGGATGGTTCGTTAATTGGTACAAAACTAACATATCCAGAATTAACTTGAAATAGTTCTATACATGCGTGGCAATTGCTTACTAGGAACATAGGCGGAGGGGTGTTCGTTAAAGAGATCTCAGGTAACTTAAATTCAATTATATTTTAGAGTGCAACTGAAACTTTTCTAACCCTGATAACTTGCCAGAGCAGACCCAGCACCAAATGGGGAGTTCCGGCCATGATATCATTGGCCCCTATGTTCACAATTCTGCATCCTATGGATGATGCAGTTGTCACTGCCAAATCGTGGTTCTCTCTCATCTGAAACTCGTTCTTTGGGTTCTTGTTGATCACGCGCTCGTCAATCGTGTCAGGAGCAGAGAGGTTGATCACTTTGCTATAATTACCAGATTGGGCTTACTTTTTTTTCGTTTTTTTACCTTTCCTGTGATGCTTTTCCGAACAAAAACCAAAAAAAAACACGAAAATGCACAATCAGTTTCCGTTATTTTTTTTTCATGAAGATGAGGTATCACACAAGAACGTGCAGTTTTCGGAATTGGATTAGTGATGGGTTAATAGAATGGAAACGGATGAATGGAATTGAATGAAGGTTCTTTCTAGTAAAAAGATTGATCCTAACAAAACAACCTAGAGCATCCGCTTTTCAGACTTTAAGCCCCTTTTTCAAATTTAAAACCTTCGCTTTCCGTATTAATTTTCTGCTTTCAATCCTCTAGGAAATGCTATCTATATTAAAATTTTTAAAGCTCATTATAGTTCCTGGATTTTTGAAAAAAAAGAGCCAGTCAAATTGAAATAAAAGTAATACATACATGAGTAAGACTCCGTCCTTCATCTTGGTGAAAAGATCAACCCCAATCAGTGGCAGGTACTTCTTACAAAGAGGGTCTCCAGACAGATTGTCATTTATGTACTGGGAAAAGGCCCTGACTTCCGGCTCCGAATAGGAGTGGACAGCACCTGAGGCTTCGTTTTTTGTCTGTACTAATTCGACTGCTTTGGACAGTTTTCGGCCCAGTGAACTGTCGGTTTCGCCAGACGCTTTTTGCTGTTTGTGTTTCAGGTACATCTAATATAAAAATAAGAGTTATATTCGCGCATCGAGGTTTATGTATCGATTGAGGCGAGTCGAACACGTGTCAGAGTTCAACCGAAAAGCATAGGCGACGACAAGGCTTTATGGTCGAACTCGAAGTCGAAACGTTAAGTCATGATTATTATTAGCCATAATTATAACTATGATCAAAGAAAAATTACTATGACGAAATAAAAATTCGAAAGGAAACTAAGTGAGAGAGTCAAATCCGTAATCTTTGCCCCTGTAACACTCAGGTTCAGGCGAGGATCTAGGAATTTCTCGAGGGGGGTGGATTTTCAAAAAAAATTGAAAATTTTGTCGACCTTTTTTTAGGTCGACCAAATTGATTTTCTGAGGTCTCCCAAACCACTATAAAGACCTCAATTTGACCAAAATTATGAAAAAAAGGCCAAAAACGGCATTTTAGGCACTTTTTGGAAAATTTTGACCAAAAGTTGCGTTTTTTGGCGCGCGCTCCACCTCAAAATTAGTATTATATTGGCGCCAAAGGCGCCTTTAAAAATATTTTAGGGTCGTCACCAAAAATGGATATCTCAAAATAGCACAAAGGTGCGACCATTTGGGTCGACTGGGGGTCGAATCCCTGAAGAAAGGGGGGCGTCTGACCCCTCCCCCACCAAATCCGCTACTGCTCAGGTTATAGTAACTCATAGCTTTTATAAGCTGAAACAGTCAGTTGTTTGATATTACTGCAAACAACGCCAGAGATTCGTTCTTGAATTTTTTTCCATTAATTTTCAAATGAATAATGAATGACTAAAACACGTTCATATTGAAAGTCATTAAGAAAACTTTTATTGGTTTATTTTTCATTGGTCATCAAAACACTCCATTTTCCAAAATCGAAATCAGGCTAATAATCACAATCATTTTGGTGAGTATAAATAACACGGAGGGGGAGGGATCACCTGTAGGAATTCCTCGAGACTGATGACCCCATTCCGATCCTTGTCCACCTCTTCCACCAGTTGGACCAGCTGGTCGGGGGAGAGGGGGGCACCCACTTCTGCAAACAACTTCCCAATCTCACTGGAGTCCAGAGTTCCATTGCCGTTCTCGTCCAGCTGAAAATGAGGAAAATAACTCAAATGAAGGAAAAAACACTGAAATAAAGGGAAAAAACAATTATGAGCACAGGCATATGGAAAAAATAGCATATTAACAAGGAAAACTATATAAGTAAACATCAAGTAAAAAATCCAATAAAAGAAAGAAAAAACAAAAAAGCAGCAAAAAAGTTTCAAAAAAAGAGAAACTTTTCACGGTTATTACAGCCTACTGAAGACTTGCTTCTTAAAAATTAAATTTTAAAAATGCAAATTTGAAAACAAAATGCTCGAAAACAAACATGCGCATATGGTAAGTTTTCTACCATCCGGACTACTTACTATATCGTTTCGACCCTACCGCCAATCATTTAGTCTCTTCTCCCTCTTTGTGACTAAATTAAGTAAATGTGTTTGAACCCTTAAGGGCAAAACCCAACTGCGCGAAAATAAATGCAACCTAAATGGCGTTGAAAAAATTGTTGTTCTTAACTTCGCGCACAGTTGAACAGATTTATCTGTGGCAATTTTTTTATAAACTTTTGACGCCAAACGTTCCAGAAAAAAAACGGAAACAAACTTTTTACTTTGAAATCATAAATTTTACAAGGATGATCGGAAATTACGATGTTATTTATAGCTATAGTCCAATTTTAATCAAGTATAGAAGTTCTAATATTGGCTTATTTAGGTATTTTTTAATGGCCAAACAAAAATAAGATGAAGTTTTAAAAAGGCATTACAATGTTTTTCCAATTGGCAATTTTTTCAGTTTTTCTGCGCTCGAAACCAAAGATAAACGAATAAAACATAGCGTAAACTCAAATATTTACTGATGCTGAAAAACTTGAGAATGCAGAACAAAGTTTGAAGAATCCATTAATTACGTGTTTCTTAACGATAAAAAACTGCAAAACGATCCAAATACACCAAGACTCAACTCGTATATCAGGGCAAAACCTTGAATGGTTCGATGCTCGTTAACAACTTTTCAGTAAAAAAAATACTGGAAAACTTTAAAGTTTGGACAATATCGAAGATCAAGTGTAAAAATATTTGTCGTACCAAAAAAAATACGACCAAATAGCCAGCCTCAATTCATTTTGGAACAATTTTGTTGAGAGGGATATTTCGCCACGCATAAAGAACTTGCGTTACGCTTAACCCTTATGTATAAAAGCTTGCATAAACGAGTCCAGAGCATGGCCGAGTTGGCTATTTTCGAAAAAATGTCTTTTTACATTTTGATTCAGGGAGTCGATATCTTTAATGTGTTATTATAACTTTTTTGTTAAAAACTAATAGTTCGATTGCCAAAAATTGACTGAAAAAACACACCAAGCATTAGTTTTTGTTTTCTTTTGCAGACGGAACAACAGTACAGCTTGTATCAAGGGGTTTAATATTCCAACTGCGTTTAATTTCAATGGAATACATTAAAACAAAACAATTGAAGAAATTTTCAAAATAAGGGAAACAAATTCAGTTTTGTTATGCTTTTTTAAAATCATCTTCCCACACTCAATGTCAAGCACAAAATGTTATATTTGGCTTACAGAAAAGTTTTGAATAGACCAAAAGCATGCCTCAATACATTTGGAACTACTTCTAATACGGATTAAATAGCCGCTTACACGTTAATAGCGCGAAATATATCATGCATTAGTTGTCCTAAGCTGGCCAAATTGGCCATTTTTAAACCCCCATAAATTTATAGAAGAGTATCATATGTGAAGTATCTTTTTAAATGTAAGCTCATGATATACAAGATATTTGGCTGGTATGAAAAATTCCGTTAAAATGGCTATTTAAAAGGTCGAAGGTTGTCGAAAGTGAAAAAACCACCCAAGCACAAATATTCCGTGACTTTCGTATCGAAAGTCGGATCAAAAACATAACGTAATAAGGGATAACACAAAACGCTAAGAAAGACAACTCGAGATGATTCCGAATTGGTTAAAGCCGGCTAGTTGTCATAATTGATATTTCACGTAACAAAATCTATCTTTTTGCGTTTTATAGGGCCTGTGGGGGTGATAAAAAATAGCGAGTTTCACGACACAATTTATTAACCGACGAAATATACTTTGCAAGGTATTATTCTTGAAAGAGAGCACACTAAGTTTACAAAATGAAACCACAGAAAAATCAACAAAAAAAATGGTCAAAAAGCAGTTCCGTTTTAAGAAACACAATTTATACCAGCTGCAGTCGTCATAAAATTTCCAATACTTTAAAATTGCACCTCAACTTTTTTGCCTTTTTCAGTTAAAATCACAGATTCTAAAATCTCAAGCTTACTTCAGAGTTATAGTCTTTTGGAAAGGAAATTGAAAAAGGATTTTTTTTTCGATAAAAAGCAATTGCTTAACTTATATTCCTATTTTAGGAACAGTCTTAGCCAGAGAACTTTTTTTTCCATTTTTTTTGGAAGCCCGGACGAAAACTTAAAGGATTCAAAATAGAAAGCTATAAAATATTTTATTTTAGCGGGAAGTTTCTGATGTACATGAAAGAAAAGGACCCAAAGCTATATTCCTTTCCCATACTCAGTGATCGGTCTAAAAAGTAAAAAAGGGGCAGTTTTGTGTTTAAATTTTTTTATAGAAAAAAATTCACTGATATGTTTTGTTTCAGTCAAACTGAGTTTTGCTTATGCCTCCGAAAATTTTTTCTACAACATTTTTTTCTGTTTTTTTTTTCAATAAATTTTTAGCGCCAATGCTTTACTTTTTTCTGATTGGGTTCAGGATTCGAGAGGACGGTACGATCAGACTGATTTTGCAACATCTTTACAATTTCTCTAATTTATTTTTTTTTAGTCAGATGCTGTTGCTTAAGTTATTTTTGCACCACGCAGAAAAAAAATGAGTGAATGAGATAAGTCCATTTAATTTTAAAAATCCATTAAAATCCAATGAGAAAAAATCCATTGAATTGCATTTTAAATGGATGATAAATAATTTGAAGTTCGACAAAACAATGGCTTATAATCAATTTATAATGCATTCAATTTTTAGGGAAGGGGAATCGGTTTTCATGGGATCTCGTTGGAAACGGTTTGATAAACATTATTTTAGTCTACGAAAACTATCAATCCCTGTTTTTTTTGTTTATGATGTGTTTGTTTTATTGCTATACAGTACACGTTTACACATCAGTGCTTGATCTCAATCTTGATGGGTTATACGTTTTTATTACTGTAACGCTTGTCCATCAGCAATCGATCTCGATTAGATTAGCTAGGTTTAATTGCTGCAATGTATACACATCAGATCTTTATCAAATAATATAGACTAGCAATCATGCCTCCAACAATCCATTGGCTCGCAAAAAATTAGTTTTTGTTCTGATCAAGCTATCCAAGCAAAGAATCTTTATACAACTTCAAGTTAAGTCATCGTAAACCGGTTTGAAATGTTTCATGAAGCAAATCAGATGGCGCAACTTAAGGTTTCTATGTGGACGCTATTCGAGCGATAAAAGATTGAAATATTTCAATATGTTTCATAGAGGGAATCAATTCGCAAAAAAGTAATGATTTTCTAGGTAAGATTTAAAGCAATGAAACTTAGATTGAATCAGTTCGCGAAAAAAAGTAAGTTTTTCTAAGCAAGCTTTTAGGCTAGAAATTTTGAAAAATCCGAATTATTTCATAAACCGAATCATTTTGTGAAAAAATTAAAGTTTTCTAAGGAAGCTATTCAACCTATGAAACTTTGAATTATTCCAAGTTATTTCATAGACTAAATCGGTTCGCAAGAAGCTTTAAGTTTTCTAAGCAAGCTATTCAAGCTATGAAACTTTGAAATATTTCAAGTTATTTCTTGGACCAAATTGGTTCGCGAAAAGTTTCAGTTTTTTCTGAGCAACCTTTAAAAGCTATGAAACTTCGAGTGTTTTCAAGTTATTTCATAGATGGAATCTGTCCTTGAAAAGTTTGTTTTTCTAAGCAAGCTTTTAAAACTATGAAAACTATGAATTATTACAGTTTAGTTCATCGACTGCATCGGTTCGAGAAAATATCAAGTTTTTATAATCAATCTTTTCAAGCAATGAAACGTTAAAATATTTCCATTTATTCCATAGACCGAATCGGTTCGCAAAAAGTTTCTTTCTTAGCATGTGGAGATTGCAGTTTTGAAGACTGAAATTTTGACAGTCCCAGACAGAAATTAAATGAACTTTTTGACAAAAATTAGGCAGGTACTGTCTAGCTTTGTACGTGGATCGAGTTCTCATCTTCTTCTCATGGTTGCTCTGAATGATTTTTAAACGTTACAATCGATAGCCTTTTAAACATTGTCTCCTAATAATTCTTAATCATTGTGTTCAGTTAAACATTGTGTCGATAGCGCATTCCGACTTTCATTTAATATATACAAGGAATTGAGCAGTCATATTTGGAGGCAAGATTCGCAATCGTTGAGAGTACTCTGATAGGACTTAACTTTAGGGTTGGGAATTTCAGATTTTGAAGAAAAACGTTAATTTCAGCTTTCTGAATTTTTTTTTGAAAAAATCACAAAAAACTTCATATCTCGTAAACTACAAAGGTTTGAACAATCATATTTGGAGATAAGATTTGGAGCTCCTTAGAGAACCCTGACAGGGTTGGGAAATTCAAATTTTGAAAAACAATAAATTTGATTTTTCTTAAAAAAAATTTAAAAATCACAAAAAAGTCATATCTCAAAAACTACAGGGTTTTCAGCAATCATATTTGGAAGCAAGATTCGTTATCCATGGGAGTACACTGACACGACCTAACTTCAGGATTGGGAATTTCAGATTTTGAAAAAAAATTTAAGTTTTCTGAAAGTTTTTGAAAAAATCCCAAAAGTGTCATTTCTCGAAAACTACAAGGATTTGAACAGTCATATTAGGAGGTAAGATTTGGAGCTCTATAGAGTACTCTAACAAGTATCTCCAAACTACAAGGAATTGAGCAGTCAAATTTGAAGGCGAGATTCGCAATCATTGAGAGTACTCTGGCAGGAATTAACTTCAGGATTGGG